ATATATATATATTATTTTGTGAAAAGTTTAGATTATGTCATTAAGGCAAGTCACAACCCTATATAAGATTAGAATCAACTAACAATTTTTTTGAAAATTTTTAGTAGAATTACGAATCGCTTACTTCATTTCCAATATAAGTTCACATAGAAAAGTCAAATTTGATCCTAAGTTTTTGGTGTTTAATTTCTTACAAAATATAAATTTATAATTATTATAAATTTATAAGTTTTTGGTGTTTAATCGGTTAAAATTTTTGTTAAATATAAATGTTAAAATAAGCATTATATCAATTATTAATTTTATTATACACAATAATTTATAATTGAATTACACATAAATTTATTTAAATTAAATTCTTAAGAACATGTGCAAGTGTTTTGGTACTGGACCGCTTCTAAAAAAATGCTAGTTGTCTTTCTTATCCAAAATATTCGAAGGGAGTTACTTGTCTCCTCTTAACCTTGGCAAGAGGTTATACAATTGTGTTTGAATTTCTTTAAATCTCATATTCTCTAGGAATATTTTTCCAAAGTTCAATCATAATTATTTTTTTACTCTATTTACTGTAAATATATATAATTATGATATAAAATTATTGAGTCTTTGTTTTGACTAAAATAGGAGGCAATATACTCTAATTGATTTTTGGGTTTAGTAGATTCATGGTCCCCGAATCTTAAAACAAACAAGTACAAAGAGTTAGATAACACAGTAGTCTGCATATATCTGATAAAAATAATTTACTTGAATTAGTTTTGGATTCAGACGCCACACTAGCATGTAATGCGGAAGAAAATAAATACTGAATATGTTTTTAGAAGTGAACCATTTCAAAATTGAGTCTAATAATCTCATCCTATATTCTCTGAGAAACTTGTTTGTGCGTTAACGATAAAATATGCTTCCATATAAAATTGAAAGCGATAGAATCGTTGTTGTCCATATGTTATTGGGACACTAGTTAGTTGTGAAAAAAAAAACGATTTAATGAGATTGTCAGAATTTAGATAAATAAAAAAGTATATGCTATTCACCTAATGAAGTACGAATGAGCGGATATCGGTTATCTATATCATTTCTTATACAATTAATCGGCACAAAATGTAGGTACAATATTTTTAGTGTGCGGTTGACAAGTATTTTCACTTAATTTTTTGTTTGCTATCAATTGAAAACTTCGTACGATCTTATTATAGTGGTTGATTAAGAAGCTTATCAAGAATATATGGACAATATCAAATTAATTTTTGCTACTAAATTTATGTTGTAATAGTGTTATAATCATTTTTAGTCGTTAATCTTTGCTACCAAATTTATGTTGTGACAATGTTAATATCATTTTTAGTCGTTTTATGTTGTTAAGTTGTTAAAGTTAAAAGATTCTAAAAATCTCTTAGAAGTTTAAGCGATGATGAAAAGGGTTTTTCTGGATAGAAATTTAGTTTGACTTTAGAAGAAATAATATATAAGGTGGTCTATTTTGAATAGAGCCTCATAATTTTTTTTCCTCAACTTTCTAAAGAAAGAGAGGATTCTCGAGAGAAAGTCTTTGGTCGGTGAGCTCTTTATCTCTCAACCTTCTATTATTCTTCTTCCAATCCTTTCTAAGTCTTTGGTCATGTTGAAATAGCACTTGATGCCTCAAAGGCGTGCTCAACATGATGCAAGTTCTACACTTATGCAGATTGCGGAATTATGCTAAATCCACCGGAAACACAACCCAAATCATAAAACACAAGAATATATATATATATATATATAT